TTAAATAAAAGCATTCTTTAAAATTTAACCAGGAATTAAAACTTTCCCAAAACAAAAACCTCTTCTTACAAACCAAATAGAAAGACTGACAGAAATGGAAATATTTTCAACACACCATGTTCAAAAGAGATATGAAATACAGGAGCTTTTGAAAGCCGCCAGGATGGGCCATGAAGATGGCTGAATGGTCAGAAGTGCTGGCTGTGTGGACCTGGAGACCTGACTTCAAGGTGGAGGGAAAGAACTCTCCCGTGATGTTGTCTGAGTCAGGTGCCATGGCTGGGAGGGGCAGAGTTCTGGCTACCTTGGCCTTCCTTAACTATCACTCTTGTCAGCGTTTCTACATATTAAGTATCCTTAAATGCAACACATTTAGAACAGAGGCATAAAAATGCTTGCATACGTTATCCAGCTCTATCAAATTCAAGCGCTTAGATGTCCTTGCCTCACCTAAAAGTTAAATAAACGAATGTCCCAGACTTGCTGGCCATTCCCCCTCTCCCCAGATGCTTTACCATCTTGATCTGATGCTATAACGCCCATGCATGCTCCATGTTTACGGAAGTACTTATGATCAACATACAGCACTATTTTGTATGTTTCCGAAACACACACAGACGTAGCCATACTCCTGTCTAGCCCTGCCTCTTCAGTTTCTCATATTATGCCCAAGTTTCATTTAAATACTTTCTGATTTTAATCCCCCATCTACGTGCCTGAGTGTGTATGCGTATGTGTGCACATGCATGCTTGTACCGATTCCGCAGGAGCTGTGAGCAGCCTGCTGTGGGCGCTGGGAACCGAACTCGGAAAGAGCAGGAAGCACTCCCAGCTGCTCAGCCCTCTCTCCAGCCCCAGCTCCTCTATTTAGACTGCTCAGCATTCCTTTTGTGTGAATGATGTATTCATTCTCTTTTGGTGGCTATTTAGGTTTTCTTTTACTCAGACAGTCTTGTCCGTGGAACTGAAGCTTTGGAGTTTCTGCAGAATACCTAACCACAAATGAAATTCTTGATCTAAAACATCATCTTCCGTCTTACCAGGTTTAGCTGAATTTTTCACCAAAGTGTTCGTTTGCTCCTGGATGGTCTGAGAATTTTTGCTTCTCTGTCCATACTCACGCTTTGAAGACAGGCGGGACTGTGAGTCAGGGACATAGCTCTCAGAGCAGTTCCCTCAAGCACCTCTGGAGGGACTGTGGTCCCGTGGTCACTTTAGCTTTGATCCATTGAAGCTGATCTCACTGATGTAAGAAGACGCATGTGTGCTGTTCTAAGCCTTCATGTCTATGGTTGTTTGTTTCAGCTCTCCATCCCGCAGACTTGCCTTCTGTCAAGTGAGAAAAAGAAAAGCACATACTCTTTCTTCTGTCCGTCTCCTTTTCTTGTTTTATTTTACCAGCTAAGGCTGCTTTTTGAGTGTTGGATAGAAATAGTGATAGCAATAACTTTTGACTCGGTGAAATGAAATGGGGAATTTTTCCTGTTTCACCATGAAATAAGATACTCTGTATTGAGGTGGAGAGATGGCTTAGCAGGGAAGATCATGGGTCGTTCTTGAAGAAGGTCCGAGTTCGATTCAAGACATCCATACCAGGCAGCTCATAGTCATCTGTGACTCCAGCTCCAGCAGGGGGCATCTGTCACCTCTGGCCATCAGTGGCACCAACACTGATATACCCACATATACACATAATTATTAAGAAGATATATTTGATGTGTGTAGTGGTTTGAATAGGTATGGCCCCCATGGACTCACGTGTTTGATTGCTGGGCCCATAGGGAGTGGCACTAAATAGGAGGTGTGGCCTTGTTGGAGGAAGTCTGTCACTATGGAGGTGGTCTTTGAGGTCTCATATGCTCAAGCTACACTCAGTGATGCACACAGTCTCCTTCTGCTACTTGTGAATCAAGATGTAGAACTCTCAAATCTTTCTCCAGCATCATGTCTGCCTGCACGCTGCCATGCCCCACCATGATGTTAGTGGACTAAACCTCTGAAGCCAGCCCCAATTAAATGTTTTCTTTCCTTTATAAGAGTTGCTGTGGTCATGGTGTCTCTTCACAGGAATAAACTCAAACTAAGACAATTTTGCAGTATTGATCTTTGCATGATATTCATATCCCAAACCAGAACAAAGTTATACTGTAGAAATAATCACATGTGACTTCTGAGGCTGGGTGTAACAAACGTGCTGTTTCTACCTCGCTTTCTTGGCTCATTTGCTCTGAGGAGGCTATGTTGGGAATGTCAATAGGACATTCAAGCACCCTTTTGAAGACACCAGTGTAGCCAGGATGCTCCTGCCAGCAGCCAGCACCAACATATAACACCAAATCACCTTGGGGCCAGCCTCAGCCAAGCCCACAGGTGACTGCAATACTGTCTAGCATTCTTGACCTGACTTCATGAGAAACTCTGAGCTAAGGCCACCCTAGACTGCCCTAATTCCCAGCCCATAGAAACTGGGACAGAACACAGAGGCTTATCATGGAGTTACTCTGTTAAGTTTCAGACTGGTTTGTCATGCACACCAATGGGCAGCTGGTTCAAGAAGGTTTGCAAACTGTATCAGATTAAAGACAGTCATGGCTATGTCTAGTCTCATATATATATATTTTTTTTAATGAATGGAGGACTAGAGAGATTGCTCAGTGGTTGAAAGTACTTGCTGCTTTTGCAGAGGACTGGGGTTCAATTCCCAGCACCAATATGAAATTCCATAACCATTTGAAATTCCAGTTCCAGGGAATCTATGTCCTCTAGAGGCACAAACCTACACACATAGCATAAAATAATAACTGAAAAATTAAAATAAAAAGTGAATTGATTTTTTATATGCAGTTTACCCATGCAGTGGATTATCTATCTTTAGTATGCAAATGTGCTGAATTATATTGGACTTTTCCAATGAGAAAGCAAGTATTACTAGGATTAAAAGCATCTTATACCATCAGGGCAGTCCTCAAGTCTCTCCCCACTGAGCCATCTTGCCATCCCTCGACTTGGGAATCTAAATTTCCCAAGAGTCTGTTTATCATTCTACTTTCCTAGCTCCCATTTAAGTCAGTCTGTTGCCTTTGTGTTTGGGTGTTTTTAACATCCACTTACATGTCAGTCAGCTTTCTATCATTCTCAGAAAATGCTGGAGAGAAACTGCCATAAAGGGAATGGATTTATTTTGGTCCATGGCTTCAGTGCCCTTGAGTACTTGTCTCTCGGCCTCACGACTGAGGTGAGGCTGAGTGTCATGGCAGAGAGGAAGTAAGAAGCAGAGCCCCTGGGAAGTGGAGGGATGTGGAGGTCAATGTGGGATCAGAATACATCTGTCAACACCTTTCCACACTGGTCTACCAGCCTCTGCCGGCCTTCTTCTTTTAATTTTAAAAATATTCAAGCCGGGCGGTGGTGACACAAGCCTTTAATCCCAGCCCTCGGGAGGCAGAGGAAGGCAGATCTCTGTGGATTTAAGACCAGCCTGGTCAGTCTACAAGAGCTAGTTCCAGGATAGGCTCTAAAGCTACAGAGAAACCCTGTCTCACCCCCCCCTCACAAATTCATTTATTTATTTTGTGTGTATTGATGTTTTGCTTGTACGTACATCTGTATGCCATGTGTGTGCCTAATGCCTGCAGACATGGGAAGACGACATCAGATCCTCTGAGACTAGAGTTGGCTGTGAGCTTCCATGTTGGTGCTGGGAATTGAACCTGAGTCCTCTGGAAGAGCAGTCAGTGTATCAACCTCTGAGCCATTTCCCCAACTCTTCCTTAAAGAGCTGTAAGTGCTCCTAACTGCTGAGCCCTCCCTCCAGCCTTTAGCTTTCAATTACATTCATTTGTTTATTGAGGAGGTGTGCCACAGCACACGTGTGTAGAGGTCAGAAGACCTCCTGTGGGAGTTAATTCTCTTCTTACATCACATGGAGCCCAGAAATGTACTTCAGGTTGCCAAGTTCAGAGGCAAGTGCCTTTATCTGCTGAGCCATCTATAGCCCAAAGCCTGGTTTTAAACTCAACGTTCCTGCTGTGGGATAATGCTCATGTATCTTGTAAAGATTTGTCACTTGTACTGGTTTAATAAAACACTGATTGGCCAGTATCCAGGCAGAAGTATAGGTGAGGTGACCAGACTAGAAGAATTCTGGGAAGAGGAAAGGCTCAGTCTGTACCAGCCAGATGCAGAGGAAGCAAGATGAGAATGCCTCACTGAATAAGGTACAAGTCATGTGGCTAAACATAGATAAGAATCATGGGCTAATTTAAGTTGTAAGAGCTAGTTAATAATAAGTCTGAGCTAATAGGCCAACCAGTTTATAATTAATATAAGCTTCTGTGTGTTTTGTTGGGACTGAACAGCTGCAGGACGGGGCAGAACAGAAACTTCTGACTGAACTTCCTCTCTTTACATTACTCTTCAGAGTACTCATTTAATTATGCATTGGTCTTACAGTGTTCATTATTACTTTATCATCTCATTGGCTTCCATAAGAAGATGGAAATATTTTATCCAGCATTTCCAGATGTTCTCAGTGGGAGAGCTGAAGGTTAGTGTTTTGTGCCATGTGCTGGAAATGATAGTCAGGTCAGGCTTCTTGAATGTAGTATTGCATTTCTGATCTTCTATGCTATGCCCTTTCATGTTTGTAATTCTTTTGCTTTTAAAGATTTACTTATTTTTGTATTTTTATGTACAGTGTGTTTTGCCTGCATTGGTGTTTGTGTATACAGAGACCCAGGAGGCCAGAAGAGTGCATCAGAGCCTCTGGAACTGGAATTACAGTCGGTTGTTAGCCACTATGTAGGTGCTGGGAACTGAACCAAGGTCCTCTGGAAAAGCAGCCAGTGCTCTTAACCACTGATCCACCCCTCCAGTTCCACATATGTCCTTTGCTTTTAAAAACAGATTTTATTTTTAGGACACACGTAGGTTTATAGAAGAAATGCAGAGGAAATATGGAGTTCTCTCAGGCCCCACATTCACTCAACCCCATTGCCAGCATTTTAGGTTAATATGGTGCCTGTAACCCATCAATAACAGTACGATATTATCAGCTGCAGTCTATGATATACTCCTATTTACTTAGCTTTAGTTTAAATATCTTTTTTTCTGTTTTAGGGTCTGTCCAGCTTATGGCATAACATTGCATGGGAATGCCTCCTTATGGTCCTTTTGGCTCTGATAGCTCCTCAGACTTTCCTTGGTTTTGATGACTGTGACGGTTCCCAGAAGTACTGTTCAATATTTTGTCTCATGTCCTTCAGTTGGCAATTTCCTGATGTCTGTCATGTGATCAAAAAAATTGCTTGCATTGCCTGCTCTTCCAAAGGTCCTGAGTTCAATTCCCGGCAACCACATGGTGGCTCACAACCATCTGTAATGAGTTCTGGTGCCCTCTTCTGGCCTGCAGACATACACAAGGACAGAATATTGTATACATAATAAATAAATAAATATTAAAAAAAAGAGAGAGAGAAACCAAAAAGGACTGAGAACCTCATCATCCATTCCAGCTAACTATGATTTACTTTCTGTTCTTTTAAGAAAAACAGATAGATGGATGATAGACAGACAGTAAATGGGGGGATGGATGGGTGGATGGATGGATGAAAGGAAGGAACAGTCTTGAGGGACGTATGTGAGTAAAAGAGAGCTCTCACCTAGTAAGCGTCTACAATACCCCAGTTTTGATGCCTAAGACAGGAGAAACAAAAAAGATGGCAAGTAGTTGTCTTAGTAGTAAATTAATCAGTGTCCCCTCTGCAAACGCTTCTTCTATACTTCCATAATTTTTTAATATTACTTATACGTTTCCCTCCATATTAATTTTCTAAAGGAAACAATTTTAATCACTTTATATGCTACCAAGTGTTCATTATTAATCAGATACTGGACACTTAATAAATAATGACTGAAAAAAATTAAAACTACATGCTCCCTCCACCTCCCCACCCCACTCCCAAAAAAGACTGTTCTTTATTTTCTTCTAGTGTTGAGGATCAAAACTAGGCCCGGTGCATAGTAAAAGGGGTGCCCCTAGGTAATATCTCCAGCTCATATATGACAGGATGCAAGCTTCTGTGTGACCATACAGCAGAAGCCCATGTTCTCTCCTTCAGGCCAATTAAAGGGAGAAACACCCATCCCCACCAACAAGTAGTCAAAGGTTAAAAGTAAAAAGCTATTTTCCCAAGACCAATATAGAGTGAGAGGATCATGTTACTAGAAAACACTTTCATCTGCTGATTCTTTCATCTTTTCTTTTCAAATACTCTATATTGTAAAATGAGGGTTTTTTTTTTTCTTTTGGTTTTTCGAGACAGGGTTTCTCTGTGGTTTTGGAGCCTGTCCTGGAACTAGCTCTGTAGACCAAGGCTGGTCTCAAACTCACAGAGATCCGCCTGCCTTTGCCTCCCGAGTGCTGGGATTAAAGGCATGCGCCACCACCGCCCGGCTCTAAAATGAGTTTTTTTACTTTCCTAATTTTATTTATATGCCTATTTCCTCAAAAAATATAAATAGAATTGAGAACTTTTTTTTGAAGTAAAAAAAAAAGTATCTTAAGGCTTAGTTTACTGTTGGTTTATTGCATGAGAACCCAACATTATAAATAACCTATGGATCTGATATTATCTTACCCAAAAGTGTTTATGTTTGTTTAAGTAGTTTTGACCAACTCAACATTCGCATTAAACAAAGACCCACTGAGAGCTCCAGGGTGACAGCTCCAGAAGGGGTAATTTAGTTACAGTGATCTGCAGAGTAACACAAATTCATAAGGCCTCTGGAACTGGGGAGGGAGGGATATCCTAACAATAAAGAGGCTGGATAACAAGCAAAGCACTAACTCATAGATGACAGTAAGAGTGAGATTTCACAGAAGAGAAAGGAAGGGTAGGAAGTAAAAGAAGAGAGGGGGAAGAGGGGCAGAGGGAGAAGGTAACATCTGCCACACACTTGTGACATTACAGGAGCGATGCGAACATTCCTCCTGTGAAAGGCACAGGGAGAAACTGCAGGCTCACATGAGTTAATAGCGTCCTCAAGAACACACTGCAGGAGCCGCAGCAGCTCTCACTTCAAAACAGATGCCTTTAGTTAGGGCGCCGCACTGAGTCCATATGCCTGACGCTCATGAAGTTTTATGTGCAGCTTTATGTAAGCTGTTTTAGGCTCTACATGGATACCACTAAAACAGCTGGGGAAAAAAAAACCTTAGACATTGCAAGAGAGCTAGAAGAAAAAGGTCAATGCCCAAGTATCCATAAATAAAATGGCTAGAAGTAACAGAGGGTATGAGGTTGAATATCAGAATAGGTAAGAGGAAGTAAACAGTACAGTACAGAGAACAGGAGGAAAGGAAATCGTTCAAGGGCTGAAGAGATGGCTCAGTGGATAAAAGCACTTGCTGTGCAAAAACCAAGACCTGAGTTTAGAATCTCAGAGCCCACATAAAGCCAGGCACAGTGCCACACATCTATAAAATCCCAGCGCTCCTAAGGGGAGAGTGGAGGAGGACAGGGGAGGTCAGGTAGCCTTGACTGCACAGCAGTGAACAATGAGAGCCTGTCTCAAAACAGCAGGTGAGGACCTGCACCCAAGGCTGTCCTCTGATCTCTGACACGTGCACCATGGCACATGCATACTCACACTCAAACATGCACACACATACACACACATTTATTTGCATAGATGCAAATAAAGAAAGAATAGAGAGGGAAAAGGAGAGTTAGTTCAAATTTGGAAAAAAAACAAAAAGGATAGAAACCGCCTTCATGACAATTAAGTACAACCCTGATAGAGGATTTCATACAGCAGGGAGAAGGCAAGAAATTCTCAAAGGGGAAAAAAATTAGCAGAACAAAGGTAGAGAGTCAAACATAAACATAACTGTTTAGGAGGAGCAGTTCCAGATAACAAGGTGGGGATGGATGCATACTTAGTGGCAGAGAAAGACGCCAAACAACAGCCTGGGGATTAAGTTGCAGGCCTTTGGGCAGTAAATTCAGGAGTTTGAACCCTTTGCCTTTACCTAAAATACAAGCACAGATCTCCAGGAAAAGAATAAAATGAGCAGGCCCAGATATTGAGTTGGTCTGATGATGAAATGCAAGCTGGGAACCATGAGTACAGAACTGTAAAAATTCACAACAGTACATCAGTGAGAAAAGACAGGTAACAAAGAATAGCATAAGCCGCTCGTTTCTTGTGGAGCTTGAAGTACTGAGTCCCTCCACTGCCCTGTGCTCCTCAGTCTCATCATCCATGCTCAGTACAATCTGCCTCACGTGTTTCTCCACTAGAGCGCCTGATGACAACAGCCACGTTCCATTCATCTTCACACTGCCAGAGTCCAGCTTAGTGAAAGGTGCCAAACACCACACTCATGCAGATGACAACATCTGAGTGTGTTTACTTAGCGATGTGATGGAAGAATGAGCAATAGAAACCTAAGACACAGTATTTATATTAGGATGATGAAAAGGCTTTGGGTCCACATAGTGCTGATAACTATATCACACTACAAATATAATGCAATAGAATTGCATGTGAATAGAATGTGTCTTAGTTACTATTCTGTTGCTGTGAAGACCAAGGCAGAGTATAAAAAGAAAATTAACTCGGGACTTGCTTATTGTTCTGAGGGTTATATCATCACAGTACGGAGCAAGGCAGTAGGCAGGCAGGCAGGCAGGCAGGCATGGCACCAGAGCAGTAGCTGAGGGCTTACATGTGGTCCACAAGTAGCAGGCAGAGAGAGAAAAAGACTGGGCCTGGAGTGAATTTTTGAAACCCTAAAGCCCATGCCCAGTGACAACACCTCCTCCAATAAGGCCACACCTCCTAGTCCTAAACACTCCACCAACTGGGAACCACACAATAACATACAGGAGACTATGGGGACCATTCTCATTCAAACCACCACAGAATGCAAACTTATAACACAGTTGAAATAATGAATATATTCTTCAGCATGTTATCCCAACTCAAAAACAAAGATAAGTCTGGCAAGAAACTTATCCATATAAACAAACCAGATCTGTTTCTACTGAGCTGATTTTTCTAATCCTTTTTGCAAGGCCAGCGGGCTTATTGCATACCTACTCTTTTTATTTTCTTTGTGGGAATAACTTTTTCCAAAAATATCTTTTGCATTCAGAACTAACTCAACCAGATCTTGCAACCAAATTAATAATACGCCCTGAGACCATTCAAAATTATACACTTAATCCGTTTCCCTATTATATACTCACTCTGTTTAACTTGCCTTTCAGAAAACAGTATGGCCCAACCTAATCCTCCCTTGGACTTTACATGAAATCAGCATCTATGACATAAGCTAAATTCTAATATTTAATCTTAAACTATGCATTCTTCCATGCCTCAGACTCAGAATAGCTGTTAGTGTGTGTGTGTGTGTGTGTGTGTGTGTGTGTGAGAGAGAGAGAGAGAGAGAGAGAGAGAGAGAGAGAGAGAGAGAGAGAGAGAGAGAGAGAGNGAGAGAGAGAGAGAGAGAGAGAGAGAGAGAGAGAGAGAGAGAGAGAGAGAGAGAGAAAGTTTTCTGTGGATTCTGGGGGGTTGTTTTATCTTAATTGTGTGTTTGTGGTTTTGGTTTGATTTTATTTTGTTTGTTTACCTCTTGGATTACTTTCTAAAGAGAGAAAGGAAGGGTGTGGAGCTGGGTAAGTGGGGAGGGTGGGAAGATCTGGGAGGAGTTGGGGGAGGGGTAAGTGTGACGAAAATGCATCATGTGGAAATTTTTTTCAATAAAAAATGCAAAAATTATTTTAACAACACTAAAATGATAAACTACTGCTTTAATCTGAAAAATAAATTATTATCCATGTATACATGCATGTACACACACATATATACATGTATACATACATATCTGCTTACAGCCAGCATTATATTAAATGGGAAAAGCAGAAAAGCATTTCCACTAGAATCAGGAACCACACAAGGTTTCCTGCCTTCTCTGTGGCTAATAGAATGCTTGAAGTCTTTGCTAGAGTTAGCTAGGAAGACAAGATGAGGAATTAAAAGGGATTACGAACAGGAAGGGAAAGGCAGACTTGACAGACCCTAAAGACTCCACCAGAAAACTTTAGATTTGGTGAACACATTCAGCAAATACCAGGGTAAAGAAATTAATATACAAAAAATCAGTAGCTTTTCTGTATACCAGTAAAACACTTAACAAAGAAGAGTTCGGGGGGAAAACAAAAGGGTGATAACAATATCCAGATTTTTTTTTAAATCCAATCTGCAAATAAACATAATCAAGAGAGTAAAAGATCTCTACATTAAGATACTAAAAAAAAGAAACCAAGGAAGACACTGTAAGCCCTCCCGTTATCATGGCTTGGCAGAATTAATATTGTAAAGCTGACTGCATTGCAG